CACTTTCGCTGCATTTTGCTATCGACAAATTCTAATGTTATCGTGTCTGTGTGCCTGTCATTTTGTTGCAGAATTCAATTCGACACAATTTGTCCTTGCATAGCAAGTTTGTTAGAGTACAAAACGAGGGCAATGGCAAGAGCTCCTGGTGGATGCTTAACCCCGATGCGAAAGGAGGCAAAACGAGTCGAAGGCGTTCAGGCTCTCTTGATTCGGCCCCTAAATCAGAGAGAAAGCGAGGGCGAACGAAAAAGGAGAAAATTAAAGAAGAAGACGGTGAGTCTCCTTCGAGCCCTCGACTGTCGGTAAATCGCGCGCGTGATGGCAGAGCGAACTCTCCGGGGAATGTTTCGCCGACTAACAGTTCTAGTTCTGACTCGTTGCTCACAATTCAAGAATCTGAGTCGCCGTTACCTTTCCCTCTAAGCGACAGCTTTGCTCGACCGCGAACATCATCGAATGCTTCGACAGTCAGCAGTCTTGGTGGTCGTTTATCTCCCATACCGGCTCATGTGGATGAACTTGAACCATCCGCCGAAGATCAGCATTTACCTCCGAATAATTTCAACATCTCCAGCCCCCCGAACCCAGCTGCTGAGGAACTTACGCAGATGGCTGACTCTATGAGTTTGAACTCGTTTGCGGCAGAAAATAACAGATTAAAACAGACTTTAACGCCTGTACAACCATCGTTACTTCCGTCAGAACCGCCTCTTAATGAGCTCGCTATCACTGCATCAAACAGTATGAATTCCAGCATATCGAACAGTTTTGACACTAGCTATAATAGCAGTGGATATTTACAGCCTATTCAACACCCTCAGCAGTCTCTCAGCCCAGAGATACACTCCCCTCAGAATATTCCACCTTCACGACAGACCTTCGGAAATATGCGTGTATACTCGCAACCCCCACAGCCTCGTTTTCAGCAACGCAACTATCAAAGTCCATCTGAGCGGCAGAACACTACACCGGCTCGAGTGAACGACATCTTCTGTCGCGATCAAGAGATGGAAGTGCAGCATGCACCAGAGAATATGTTTCAGAACTTGCAGCCAAGTTATGTTAATGGGAACCAGTGCGGTGTTAATGGCATACCTCACAACCATCAGACCTTTAACAGTTATACCGACCCATTTATTCAGCATGTCGGGGCAGGTTCACTCATCATGGAAAATGGACTTCATTCTATGCAAGGACATCCTTTCCCTAGAGATGTTAGAATGACAAATAATCATCAACTAGTATCGATGAATGAAAAGTTCCCTAGTGATTTAGAACTGGATGCCTTTCATGGCGGTCTTGACTGCGACATTGAGAGCATTATATATGATGAATTGAATATGGGAGATGGTGGCTTTGATATTAACTTGGAACAATTTATTAGCCAGCTGCCTAATGTAGGAGAGATACGTAGTGGTCTCTACTAATAAAGATATTTAACTTATGGTGTATAGACACAAGATTTTTTTATAATAGCAGATTGAGCCTACATTTTTATTCCTGTGGGTTGTTTTGAGAAACTTGTACATAGAGTCTCTGCAGGGTCAAGTAACTTCAGAAAATGTATGTCTGGTAAGCCAGGATGATGACTGAAGGGAAGAACTTTGTATTAAGCCACTAGTAAGTTAAGATGGGTAAGAATGGATTAGAACTTTACAAAAGATGTGTTGAATTTTTCCTGCTGTGGTTAAATTCTTCCTGATTATATTTTTTCAATTGTATGGCTGTGAACGAGTTCCTGTACATCTGCACCGGAATAAACCTTCATGTTTACATCCAGTATATCTTAAATTATCACATTGTGTAGCGTGGTTATTGATACTATTTGATTTTTTTGGTCACAGTATGGTACATTGTAAGTATTTGGCTTTTTTCTTAATTGAAAATTGCCCATCAGTTTCTTGCCATGTCTTGACAGTGCAGCAACTTGTGGTTTAGGACAACATTTTGATGCCAGCTTATTTTTTCAAAATGTAGTGAAGCTGACACTAATTCACACTGTTTGGATCATTTATCAGTCTCCTGAGTTGATGCAGTAGCTCTTTAGTGTTGTAAATAGGAATGGAGGTGTTTTAGTTACAGCTGTATGCCCCATGTTCTGCTATGTTTCATTTGTTGCACCATTCTTGCTTAAATTAAATTTGTACTTGTACAGTTTAGATGAGCGTAAAATATTATTTTTAGAAAGAGTATTACTGTTTTGTTATTTTTGCTCAATTTTGCTAGATGTATTGTCCCATGTTAGCTGCATTTTGTGCTTGAAGTCTGGCACACAAGTGTTTGAGGTGACCACTGTTTTTGTGTGGGCATAATTTGATATAAAATAATATAGAAACTTATATAGCTGTTAAATGAATTGAATTGTATCAGTCAAATAAATGAAAAGTAGTTGCTTTGTAATATTGTGAATATCCATTAGAGGAGGTGGCCAAGGTTTCTCCTTATGTTTAACTTGGTCAGGACGTGTGTCCTAAGTCACAAAAAATTATATATCGATTCTACATGCCTATATTTATGGTACTGAAGATAATAAATTATTTTCTGTTGGCAAGTGATTTAGTTATTAATTACTTAACAACTGGGGGATGAAAAATTTACCACAGAATCTTAGCGCACATCAAGTCGCCAGGGTTCTTGACTTCAGTGACATGAGAGCAAGTGAACTTTATTTGTGCTGTAGAGAAGTAGGGCTGGTTGAATTCTTGAGGAAGCACATCATTTCCATGTGCTTATGTAGCTTTCGCGAGAGTGATATATGCAAATATACAGGCGCTTATTAAGAGGTAGCCATTGTTTTGTAGCGTGATACCCGCAGAGCAGACAGGTTCAATTGTTACAGCTGGAACCAATATAATGATGCTTTTGTTGTGTGCAGCCATTTCTTCCTAGCCAGCAATTATCTGACGTACCCATAGAAAACACTGAATCAGCTGCAAGAATTCAAAAGAACCAGAAGGCAGTCATTCTTTGATTGTCTCGTGACTGCCGGCAGGGCACATGATTCTAGTGAATGCCACCGGGCACTTGAGCCGACCCGAGTGGATTTAAATTCTTTTCATTTTACCTCAAATTCGTCGCGCGTTGTAAACAACTTAGTATGCTTCAACGCTTATGAAATGACTCCCGCGCTTTTGATGAAAATTCTAATGAGGAGAAAATGAAACAAAAATTGCCTAAAAACTTTCGTCACAGCAAAGTAGTTATTTTATATCCTCTGAACAGTATATGGCAGAGACATTTCCTTTCTATTGTTCTCCACTTTTGTTTTGCTTTGTCATGCTTGGCTAAAACCACGCTATTCGCTGCAGATTTGATTCTCAATTACTGCCGATGGTAAATTTGTAGGGAAGGGCAAACACTGCTAAAATATTTTGATAAAAAAAAAACAATCCCGACCTCTCACTTTCAGCAGATAATGTTTCAAAGAAAACAATTAGCCACTCGCAGGTGAATTTTCGCTGGGATCCAGCTGTGGTTTCCGCTATAAAGTGAGCTAAATGATAATGCGACAATCAAATATTTTTTGCACTGCTTGATATGTCAGCGCGCGCGGATCTCTCTTGTTCCATTCGCGCGAGAAAGATGATCGTGCGCGTCCCGACACGACAGCCAGTGACAGAGGGAATTTGAAATTGCGGTCTGCCATAATTTGTTGAGTCCGATTGATCAGTTTTAACTGATCGAGCCACTAGATAGCTGTAAGTCAATACTGCGAAATGATATGTCGATTTTGATGTCTAATCCAGGTGTTTTTAGTCTGGTCTTGGTTTCCACGCGCGACTCGAGTAAGAGCCAACGCTTCTGATTACCGTCCAACTTATTTCAGTCGTTTACGATGTTATTTGTGCTAGATAGAGAGCATAACGCATGTGTCAAAGCGGCAGGCTGCAGAATTTATAAACCTATATATCCCCCAGAGTGATTTTTGTCGTCCTCTGTCCATTTACTGTAAAAGTATTGGATTATTTACTGGATAGGGAAAAATGCGAACAAAATCATTTCACAAATATCGGTGTATAGCGGACGAAGTAAAGGAGTGAACAATTCTAGTTAATGTATGGATGCCGTGATGACAAATTTGTTCAGTATAGTAAAATGACACTTGTTTGTCGCACCGTAAAATTTTGAATACATTCTTTTGTTGACTTTATAGATAAAGAACAGCCAAGCTAAAGGTTGAATAATTTATAATCCTAAACATTAGAACCCACCTCTCGTTTTGCCCTCTATATCCGATTATATATCCCCTACTGCTGAAATGGATTATACAAAAAAGAATTATTGCTTTTATTAATTTCAAAAGCTAGCACCGTAAAGATTAGAAACAGTTGGAGACGTGGCTTTAGGCAGTTAACCCCACCCCCTCTCGGTCCTTATTCGACCTTCATCCCCTTTAGAGTGTAGAGGTGGGAATAATTTTTTTAAGCGCTTCATATTTGCTTTTTGAAAAATGCGTCACAATAAAATATAATAAGCATATCATTTTTTCTAATATTTGTGTTTGAGAGCATTTTAAGACCGCTACCTAATAGTCTAACTCTCTTTTATCAACCCTTCTCTTTTGCAGTTCGTGGGAAAGTACTTTCATCTATATATCAAAACAATTAAATCCTTTGCAGTGATGCGTTACTAGATCTGAAGTTAAAAGGAGAAAGCATATGGAAGCAAGTGATGACAACTAAAAAAAAAGAGTTCGACAGAAAAAAAGGGCGGGAGGAAAAAAAGGGAGTGAAACGAAAAAATAAGAAAAGAGAAAAGATGTAATATAAATGAAAGGATGAAAGATGAAAAAAAGTGCAAGAGAAATGACCTCAAAACGAAACCTGCCCTGAAAGTCATATCAATGCCGCTCCTTTTTTACGATTTGAAAGTTCTGGTTCTCGTGACAATAACACGCTCATTTCGATCTGGATAAGGGTCATCTGAGAAGGATGAATAAATCTACGAAGAAATATATGCGCCTGCAATCTTTGGTATCAGCTCGACATCACATCGCGACCTCACATGCGCTGTAAAGTACATTTCGCGCGAAACGCAGTTGGAACAACAGAGGTGGTCCAGCTTTATGTGACCAAGTATTGTCTACAAATGGCTTCATGTGCCATAAAGTCGGTGTGATCTCCTCTCAAAATGATAGAAGGTTGTATCGTCGCAAAACTGGTGCTTGGTAAGTCTTAAAAAAGGGTAGGCGGGTTTTGGAGGTGCCTCGATAATGCCAAAGTGACGAAGTTCACGATAGATATGATCGCTACCCAAGCTTCAGTGGCATTTCATAATTACACAATTTTGCTAAGTTTCTGACGATATCTTGGATCAAGTTTGACGGATCGATAACTTCCGTCACCACAAGATGTCAACAGTTGTCATTTTGTAGATCGTCTGTCGTGCAGGTATTTATTGCTGAATCTGATCATGAATCAGTTCAAATAATTAATTGTTTGAAGGGTTGAGAGAAGCTTAAAGGGGAACTGAAGCCTAAAAATGAACCGTTTTTAAATTGCAGCTACTAGTTCAAATAGCAATGTTCGAGGGTTTTTTTTAGTCTTTCGGCCCAACTTCACCTTGGAAAAATAGTTTAAAGTGGTATTTTGGCCTTGTAGTATGGCGGCTCAGAAAAGCGATGTCAGCGGTCATTTTAGCTTGCTCTTACGTCACTGGTGGGGAAGAAAGATAATAAAACCGTACTCTTCCTACAGAAATTTGGTTTGGTTATGGAGTTGTCGAAGTTGTGTGACCTGTAATGGGGATTAACTACGAAAATGAAATGGTAACTGTTGTTTTTCTGAAGTTGGTTCCCCACCACTGACGTCATAAACGACCACTGCTGACCTATTTTGAGCCAATGGTCTTACAGCCCCAAAAGCGGGAAAAAGGCAACTTCAAATCGAATTTTCTAGTAAAAAACAAGAAGTGAACGAAAATGAATATTGACACTTTATCTTACTCCTCTAAAGCTAACTAGAAAGGAATGCAAACAATATACCAATTTTAGGCTTCAGTTCCCCTTTAACTTTAGCTAGAAATATTAAAATTTCCTCAATGGCAAATCTTTATTAGCAGGGCTAATTTTATTGCTATGGCATCGTGGTGCAAAGATAAAATTTCATTCAGCCAATTTGTTCATTTTACAGTTTGCTGATGCTAACTGAACACTGAATTGGTTTCCTATAGAATTTCACAATAGTGTGTGTCTTGACCTTCTTAACCCATTAATAGCCGCAGCTTTTGTGAAAAACTATGTTTTGAAGCTAGTCGAGCAGATTTCGGGTCACTGTTGTGGTTTTAAAAGCTCAAACTTACCACAAACCCATTGACAGCTTGTACACTTGACAGCCTTTCGATCCAAATGCAAAATGGCGGCCTGAAAATCTCGGGCACGCGCAGAAAGCAAAATTTCGAGAGGTTGAAAAGTAATGCCCCACTTACGGCTTTTACTTTTCTCATTCTCCTGCCCTTTTTTTCCCCTTTCCTTGCCTGAAGTTTCTCCTCACTTGCTGGAAATTTAGCAGGCTTCATTTTGGTGCAGAGATTTTTTAGGAAACTACTCATTATTTTCAAACCACATGCTCAGATTGTAGGTGGGTAATGGAACAAGATTTTCGTGCAGATTTTCAGGTCAAAGTTACATGGTTTTTTGGCTATTTCTCCAATCTCCTTCACTCAATTGCGCTCATTCTGGTATCGTTTGTAAGTTATTTTCAACCTGTTCAAAGTCGCACTCCAGGGTTAAAAGTGATGACATCACAAGGCGTAGAAAGGGTGTGGGTCCACATGGGCGCTTACAGGCACACTGGACGTCAATAGGTTAATAAGAAAAAAATTGTTGTTTATACTATAAACAAGTAATCACTTTTTTCCTTTGAATAATGAGGATAAATAAAATTCTCATCTAAGTTGCAGCACAGCTAGAGAGGAGTCAATAGCTGTGCAACTTGGGAAATTTCTGTGGCATCTGAAAACCTGTGGGATATTTATTCTTAATTTTACTCGGCCTATTATTACAAATTGTAGCTCTGGAACCAAAACATGTGTAAGAGGTCATCCTATGTCGTGGTTTGTTATAAAAATGGGAGCATGCATTTCATAGGCTTTAATAGATGTTCAATATCATGGTTTTCCTTTTGATTCTCATCCAAATGTGATATAAGAGAAGAGCAGAACATTTATTGCCACTCTGAACCAAAAATACACTAGGAATCAAATTTAGGAAGCTATTTTAGGCAAAATTTGGCAGCACTGTTGTGAGGATCTTTTCTCAGAATTTGTGCCACATTCTATGAGGCGTTATCAGTGGGATAGTATAGTCAAAGATTGTAATCCTGCTATGACAATATATATGGCCTTCGATCCCTCTTCTTGTATTTATGATATACCTCAGTATTGCTGTCTCAGTAAACAGTGTTCTTCTTCTCATTTAAGCACAACAAATAAAAGAAATTTTCAAGCCAGTCAAACAATCCTTTGACCTAATGTATGAGAGTAGTCCTCGCAGTAATGAACACTACTTAAGTGGTAGCTTGGAAATGAGGCCTAAAAAATTCAGGCCTGTACTGGATATAAACCCATGACCACTGCAACACTGGTGCAGTGCTCTATGAACTGAGCTAACAAGCCAGCTTAGAGCTGGCCATTAGGTTAGTTTGTATTAAACCAGTGAAACGGTGAATCAATGAATTTTAATAAAAGAAAATCATGTATGTGTGCTGTGATTTTTTTTAAGAAATGTATGAACCCTACTTAAGTAGTAGTGAAAATAAGGCTTCTTATTTAAGTAGTGTTCATTTCCAAGGCTTTGCTCTAGCAGCACCTGGTGGCCCCTGGCACCTTACATTTGCTCTTGGGCAATTCAGGAATTTTAGTTTTTTCATACAAAACATATGCTGGATACCCTGGATTTCACAGTTTCAGAGCACTGGGCTCCATTCAATTTTCCTTAGAGCACAGCCTTGATTACTCTGAGGACTGCTTTCATACATTTCTTAAAAAACTACAGTGTACATATTAGATTTTCATATATTAAAATTCATTAATCCTTTTAAGTAGTACTCCAAACAATTTTCGGCTCTAAGAAAAGCTGCTATAGGCATTTTATCAGTTACTACCTGAAACGGAGAACAAAATGCATGTTTTTGCATGTGTTAAACCCTCTTAGAGAGAAGCTGTTGTATGATGGGTATTGAAAGTACAAGATCAGATAAAAAAGATGAATAATTTCCAAAATAGCAACACATTCAATATTGTGAAATTTGCCACTGAACTGCTACTCCTGTAATTATCACAGTCCGGTTAAAATAAGAATCATGGGGATAGAACATAGAAAAGGTTTTAATTAGTCTAGTTGCATATCATGTAGCTACTCCTGCTACCATACAAGCATTTCTCTTAAGCATAATGCAATCATTGAAATCAAGCACAACTTGATGGAAAATGATAGTTGAAGAAAGTCACATTTGCAAATTTGCTATTTAAAAGTATTGTTGGTGGGTTGAACAGTAGACAAATATAGATATAAACCAGCGGCTGGAGTGGCCTTTGTTTGGCAAATCAAATGGAAATAGTGCAACAGTGCTGCCATGATGTGAATGCCTCAGGTAAAAACCAACTAATCAGTGCCTGTACTGAAACATGGGAAGTGCCTTTTTGGAAGACAATATTATGACAAACCATGGAATAATTTAAGACTTTGGCTTTCTATCTTTTGAATGTTTCTTGGGTTAATGTGCTTGAAGTGTCTCACAAAAGCTATGTAATGTAAATTTTAACAAAACGGCCCTTGTATTACATGTGATGAGTGCTTTTGAAAAAAAAAAAAACATCTTCTGTGGCAAACTAAGTTTTAAAAATACACTTTCACCAAAGAGGGTTTGAAACAAAATTTCTAAATTTACCATGTTATCCAGTGAGGAGAGAATATTTTTGTGTCATTCATGCAACTGTAAATAGTTATATCCAGCTTACAACTACAGTAAATGGCTATGCTATATTATGGAACTATAGCTAATGTTTCTGATATAAGTGGTGCTTAAAAAGGATTACTATAATTATTATAGTAAATACAATTACCTCAGCATAAGACAGTAAAACAATCAGATAAATCAGGTAAAATTTTAGTTGGTGGTTGAATGTTCCATTAAAAATTAATTTTCTCTTTATGAATAGCAATTATAGTCAGTTTCCTTTAGTTGTAAATCAAGACACCAGTATATTTCAGATTGCATGAGTTTTTTTTATCTTGTGGTATCTTAGTGATATCATGGTAGTTTTAGTATTATGAAGCTAAATCAGCTGTAAGATAACTTGAAGGCTGTGAGAGTTAAAATGAACATTTTTGTTATAATGTACTCAGGATTGAAAAGTGGAACTGTCTTTGGTGTGAGTCCTCACAAGAGACTTCTATTTCTTTTTGTCCAAATCTTATGATTAAAGTGTATTAATTATATTATTGACAGAAACGAAAGTTGGAGTGTACCAAGAAATATTGCCCCCTATCACTATGAAGAATATTTCTAGTCTTAAGCTCTATCATGATATTGCTTAAGCTGATAATACTGAAAAAAAAAAAACATTGGCAACCACTCAATAAAAATTGTCACTTGACACTGTGTCTGAGAAAGTATTAAGACCTGTCTGCTACTTTTAAAAACAGGCAGATTGCCAGACATGGGATTGAAATAAAATTAATTGAGTTTTGTTTAAAACACAATGAATTAAGAAGAATCCAGATATATTAGGACACACGGCATCATACTTTCCAGATGGTGCTTAAAATCAAAAATTCAGCTTTTTTCCCTGGGCAATCAAAGGGGTAAATTTAGTTTTACTTCATTAATCCTATTATTTCCACCTAAAATGTAAGGTACAAATTTTCAACTAAAAAAGGAAATCAGAAGTTGTTACAAGCTATTGAGTTACAGATAAGATATTTTCACAGTATGGAACAACATGTACAGCCACTTAATTACCTTAATAATTACCTTATTGTTATTTAATTACTTTGGTGGGAACTTAAGTTTCTAAAATTGGAGCAGGCAGATGTAATTTTGCAGTTTGGCCAAAAATATATATTAAAAGGAACTACGTTTTGCAAAAATTGTAAAAACACAGCTGCAAACAAACAGTGAGTCTCAGCATTAACACATGATTTATATTTTCATACCAGTACTTTCCAGGGACACAGAATAAAACCATATTATAACAAAACAAGATTGAAAAAAGATAATTTTGGTTTTATCAACTGAGTTAATTATGTAAACTAGCGAATGTAAATAGTTTTAAAGCTGACACTTTGAGCATTAGCTCTTCGTCTGAGCAAATCAACTCAGCTGATAAAAGTTTCAAACCAAAGTTGTTATTTCCACCAATGCAGCACCATAGTTTGGTTAGAAACTTACCCTCTTTATTCATTTGAAACTGAAAACAGTTTGACATGTTCCTGTGCAACAAAGCAGAGCTATACAAGAGTACAGGACACACTGTCTATTTGGGCTTAAGCTGAAGGACAATTTCAATTCCTTCAAATGGATCCTCAGGACAAAGAGTTAACTTACCCTTTACTACCTCAGCAACTCCTACTTTCTCCCATCTTTTGGCAATGTAGTGCTTTCCCACACTGCTATTCAAGTGTATTCATTTTTGGGTGGGTAATTTTTGCCAAAACTTTTTCGCATGGGTCTTTGATTTCATGATTTTTTGATAATCGTGAAAATTGCTTGGACATATTCGCATTAAAATGATTAACAATAAGGCAGTTGTAGAATCGATATCTTGTTCATCAGCATCACAATTATTAGTAACAATAGTCTCTGGACCTATTAATTTTATTTGTTTTAATTTGAGGTATTTTGCTCTTCTTTTTGAATTAAGGTTACCTAAAAGATGAAGGACTTTACAAAACATGTGCTGCTTTCCAAGATGAATGTTCTCTGTTCTGTGATGATAACAAGGAACTAAACAATGTATGTTGCTTTATTCAGTCTATAGTTTGAACCCATGGGTAACTTGTGATTGGGTAGTCTGATTATCTGGCTTAGGGTTTATCTGAAAAGGAATAATGTTGGTTGAAGGGAAAGAAATTTGGACAACCTCAGCCAAAGTTATCATTAGAGTCCAGAGAGGAATTTTTTTGTCAGTCACCTGACAAGTCCCGTTCGTGAAAACTGGTGATCAATTCTGCCCTGATCTTATTAGTCACAAGACAGGTGATCACGGCCATCTTAAATCTGAGATTCACTGAGATGCATGGGCCTTTTATTTTTAATACCAAGACCTACCTGCAAAAAGCTTTTATTGAGGTAGACAAAAATAGGTCTCGATAGATCATCAGAAATTCTAACAAGATGACAGGATTGATTCATAATTTTTAACCATCAAGAGTTTTGTGTTACAATTGTTCACCCATGATGGTGAATGGCATCTTCCTTTTCTCTTATCCTATTATTTTACAGGGTTCCCTCACTCCTTGAAGTCCTTGAAAGTCCTTGAATTTAATTTTTTGTTTTCAAGGACTTGAAAACCCTAAAATTTAGACTCAGATCCTTGAAAATTTCTGAAAAGTCCTCAAAAATAAGTGCAGATGAATCAAAGGTGAAGTTTTCTTTTGTTTTTGGTGTTGAAAGAGTAAGTTTTTGGCACAAATCACAAGAATGAGTTTTCCATTCGAATTGTGCATCCAATTATGATGTTTGACATGTGAATTTTATATTATTTTGTGTAAGGTTGTAGTAGTAGCAAGTAGGATAAATTTTGTAAGAAATATACAACTTTTTTTAGAGACATGTTTCGGCACGCTTATGCCATCTTCAATCCATGAGTAACTGAACATGAGTAATTATATAACAGACAAGTAGATGAATAAAATATTTACAGTATGATGTAATACAAAAGCGGGTACTAATTACAGCGTGACAACAAACATGAAATTAAAGGTGTGAACTAAAATGCTAGAAAAGTGTTATAATGCCGTAATTGTTTGTTAAGTTCAGGTTTGATCTTATTTATATAAAAAGCTTCTTTGAGTTTTAAATCAATTGAGTTGTTGGCAGAATCCAGAATACTAAAGCAAGAAAGGGAGTATTTGTTCTTACAAGAAGGAGATGTGTTAAAATGCTTAAAAATATGCGAGTTTTTATCACTTTCCGTGTGCTCCTTTATCCTAGTAGAGAAGTGGTGACTAGTTTCACCAATATAATGGGAATTACATCCCGCACAAGAAAATTGATAAACTACCATGGATTTTAGAGCATCAGGAGTACGATCTTTAACACTGAACATGTTTTTAATTTTGAAAGAAGTGAAAACTAGTTTGATATTTAGATCCGATTTACAAAAGCGCTTAGTGAGTTGTCGGAGTTTGAGGTTCGCTATTTTAGAATAATAGCCGACAAAGGGGAGTTTAAAGTAATGTGTATTATTGTCATGTGTATTATTGTGTTTTTTCAATTTTTCATAAGAAACCTACACTGGTCTCCTAACAAATTTCTTCAGTTTTATTCCTTCATGCTACAAAATTGGCCTTATCCAGACTCTTATTGACCGTATCTACAAAATCAACAACACCTCTTCCGGTCTTCAAAACGATCTTAAGAAACTTTCCAACACTTTAAAATGTAATTCTTTTCCTTCGCATATTATTGAAAGAACTTTCAAGTGGTATCTTGATGGGTCCTCCCCTCAAAATAGTCGGAACATTGATGACCATAATTACACGTTACTTTAAACTCCCTTTTGTTGGCTATTATTCTAAAATAGCGAACCTCAAACTCCAACAACTCACTAAGTGCTTTTGTAAATCGGATCTAAATATCAAACTAGTTTTCACTTCTTTCAAAATTAAAAACATGTGCAATGTTAAAGATCATACTCCTAATGCTCTAAAATCCATGGTAGTTTATCAATTTTCTTGTGCAGGATGTAATTCCCATTATATAGGTGAAACTAGTCACCACTTCTCTACTAGGATAAAGGAGCACAGGGAAAGTGATAAAAACTCGCATATTTTTAAGCATTTTAGCACATCTCCTTCTTATAAGAACAAATACTCCCTGTCTTGCTTTAGTATTTTGGATTCTGCCAACAACTCTATTGATTTAAAACTCAAAGAAGCTTTTTATATAAATAAGATCAAACCTGAACTTAACAAACAATTACGGCATTATAACACTTTTCTAGCATTTTAGTTCACACCTTTAATTTCATGTTTGTTGTCATGCTGTAATTAGTACCCGCTTTTGTAGTACACCATACTGTAAATACTTTATTCATCTACTTGTCTGTTATATAATTACTCATGTTCAGTTACTCATTGATTGAAGATGGCATAAGCATGCCGAAACATGTCTCTAAAAAAAGTTGTATATTTCTTACAATATATATCTTGTACCTAATTGGTGCATTGAAAATAACCTTGGTTAGTCCTAGCATGTGATCACTCTGGTGTGCGTGCTTGAAGTCACGCCCGTTGGACTTTTCTGCCAGTCCTGCACACATTTGTGTTATTGAAATTTAACAATAAAGAGTAATGATTTTCTATTTCTATCAGCTCATATTCGATGCAAAAGGTCCTTGAATGTGAGAGTCGAGGTCCTTGAAAATGACCTAAAAAGTCCTTAAAAGTCCTTGAAATGGATTCCCAAAAAGTGCAAGAACCCTGTATTAAGCCTCTTCACTGTGTCTGAATGAATTCCTATCTACAATTGCAGGTCTTTCTTACAGCTGACCTTAAAACAATATTAGATGATTATTCTTATCTTCGAGAATCAGGTTTGGTGAAAAAAATATCATGTATTTTAACATGTATTTGTTTTGTACCTTGTACCTTTTTTTCAGAAATTTACTTGAATTTTGGCTTTGCATAAGGTTACTTTCAACAAAGTCTGGTCAAAACTTTAATTAACATTTTCCTTTTTTTTTTTCTCTTTGGTAAGAGAAAGTATTTGAGTTAAATTTGCTGAAAATAAAATTACTTCACTCTAAGAAAGAATGCGAGATATGGTGGAAAGAGTCTCCTAGGGGAATTGATAAGCACAGTGAAAGGTCTCATAATCTGAAAGGCCGCCAGCAGAGTATGTTGACATGTTCCACTGGCCTAGCTTCCATCCTGGATCTCAATTTGGATATTTTGTTTACATCTTGTCTTAAACTGCACAGGAGAAGGGACTTTTTTGGCACACTACACAAAACATTGAGAAATAAAATTATTCATGAAATGGTCAAAAAGAGAAAAGCTGCCTTGGGTAAAATCTGAGAGAAAGCTTGGGTCAGAGAAATCATAGGTAGGTTTTTCTCACTCCTTGGCTAGTTTTGCCTACTTTTCCTTTTTCCCAATGGATTTTTGGTGTAAATTCTTTTTCCCAATTGTAAATTCATTTTCCTTGGTAAGGTCACAAAGTAACCTTTCCCACGAATTTTAATGAATCCTTTGCTGTGAGCCTCACCAGGGGTTCAATGTTGTATTTCATTTGTTGGTGGCAGGACCACACTGACACATGCTTAAATAAGGTGCAAAAGCCACAACATTTTTTAAAGGCCAAAATTTCAGGGTTTATATTTATGCAAGTTACCTAATTAAAAGGGTATGTAGATTTGTTGGATTTTGATGAAACTTTGCTGGAATATCTGTCATGTGTTAAAGTAAGTGAGGCTTTAACAAAATTTGAAATATTCTTGATGCAACCCCTAATAGCATGACAAAAACCAAAATATCTTCCATTGTCCAACTTCAAAATAGATTTTCTCTGGAACTAATAGTAATATGGAAAAAGCCTCACACCCTTTGTTAGCTTATTATCTGCTGAGTGATACAGTCAAGTTTGTTTGGCAGTCTGCAGTAACTTGGAGGCTGATAATTCAATTAAGCCAATAGTGGCTGATGTGCGTTGAAAGGCACACACATGCCTACCAAAACAGTCAAAATTTTTGTTACTCTCAGAATCTATTTAATTTATAAGCTCTACAATGATATATAGTTTTTCATGGTCTCTACAAAAGTTGCATGTATAGAGCGATTTTCTTTCAGAAGGTACCCTATTTTGTTGACAGTAACCTTACTTGTTGTTTTTCCTCAAAAGCTGATTATTTTGTGTGTGAGTTAGACACATAAGGAATTTAAGAAGCTTTTGGCAGAGATATTTGCAATCATGAAGCTTACAGATGGCTCTTAAGTCAGGGAGGTCCATCGCTGGCACCCCGCAGGAACCAGGGGATGGTTTCTAGGTTGTTTTACTCATAAAATTTTGTCAATCTGTCTTGACAACAAAGGGGAATACATGTGACTTATGACTCTTCCACCTCCCTTAACCATGTCCTTGTTACTAAAAGCATTTCTTGCAGCAAAATCAATTTGACATTACTTAATTTTGGTGTTTTGTTTCTAGGAAGGGAAAATGGCATGATAAGTGGCCCTGCTGTTCTAAAATCACTGTGGAATGATTTAGATGTTCTGATCGGACAATTGAAGTGAGTATGATGACTAGTACCTATCTTTCGGAAATACCAGCCACAATTTGGTTGCTGAGAACTAAAGAATAATGCCACTCCTTTTGTGCATGCATGTCCATGGGCAGTTCCTTGGTCGTGGTTGTTGCTAAAAAATAAGGCTGCCGGTTGAAATATGAAGTGAAGTGGTTCAAAGATGGTGCTTTGCCTGCAACAAGAGACTTCCCAGACAGGGAATGAGATTTTGTTCCCAGTTGTTTACCAGGCAGAACTTCTGAGCTTCCTGTTTACTAAGTGGTGGACACTAGTGATGGAAAGAAATCACGATAAACAAGAGCTCAAAACAATGTTTTATTACAATTATTTTATGTGGGGTTGTGTCACAATTACTTTGGTTAGTTAGGCATAATATGTTTTAATCTTTTCAATCAGCCAAAAGCATTCAATATCAACTGATTGTAAGGGTGCAACTTCAGAAGTGCCCCATTCTGCTTCACTGAGTGATCACCATCCACTATCCCTAGCTATCACATTAAAGGCCTTATGTGTCTTTTAAGGCTTTCAAATACTGAGATTCTCTTTTGTGGTCTTGAAAGTTTGGATAGATGTGCTGAAACCACCCTTTGTGCCCTGATTTATCTTATCGTTAAATTACAACTTTTAATAATCATGAGAACTCCTTTTTCAGATATGCTACCATCCCCTCAAGCACACCAAAAACTTATACAGTTAGTCAGTCAAGTAAGTTACTTAAAGTATGAAGAATGTGAATTTGAAACTTTTTTTTTTCTAAGAGCTCTTTGAAACCTTCTTTGATTATTTGTATTTAATTATTCCACGGCTGATTAACCATATGATTACCAATAGTTACCAGCATTATATTGATAATATGGATCTGTGTTATGGTCATAACTCTGAACCTGTAGAACCCCTTGGCTTTACTTGCCTTGTCTAATGATGCACTGAGCTGTGTTTCAAGGATGTTGTTCAAGGAATTGTATTCTCTATAACAGAGCCACAAATGAAGGTTGTAACTGTGTCTGACATAATTTAGC